AACAAAATAAATAAATCCTAATTTAGTCAAATTAGAAAATATATGAAACAATAACATAATTTTAGTCAAACTAGGAAACTATAGTAAATTAATATAAATAACTATCTTTTATTTTTCATCATTTCTCCTATCCGAGAGAACTCAACTTCGACGAGATGAACTGCAACTTCATTCTCCAAGGATTTCGATCTTTCGTCTGAACAAATACCTATTTTGAACTCTTGACTACTATATACGATTTGAACTCATACTAAGGAGGTAGTCTTTCTTACTAATCAAATATTGATAACAAACTTCGAAATGTTTCATATAGTGCAATCCATCCACAAAAAATAATTGGCTACGTGTATTGAGGAGCACAAGAGACTAGTACCATAGAATGACCTGCAAAAATAAATGATTGCAACATCAAATGCTCGAATGTACTTCGACAAGAAAATAATTATGCTATATTGAAAATACATTATCTTTATGTGGGTGATCCAAAAATATTTTCTTAACGTGTTTAGAAAATTGAGCCAAAGAAACACGCAATAAATATTCAAGCCTTTATTGTACATCGAAAAAAGAAAGAGAAGAAGAGAGAGAATTTAAGGTAAAAGAATATCAATTTGTTTCATATATCAAAGTGTAAGTATTACTATAGAGCTTAAACGAACCTCATTTGAGAAGGATACGAAGTAAATAAACCATAATATAGTCAAACTAGAAAACCTATCAAACAATAATCTAATTTTAGTCAAATTTGGAAACTATAATAAACTAATTTAATTAAGCATGTGTTTGGCACCCATTTTTGGGAAATTATAAATTTTGGAATAGTGATGGATGAAAGAATGTGTAGTTGAAAAGTAATGAAAAGTTTTAGATTGATGTGTAATATTATTTTATTTGGAGAATGCGTGGTTATAATTAAGAAAGAGAAAAATTTTAAAAAAATTAATGGGTGCCAAACACCCTCTTAACTATCTTTTATTCCCCATTACTATTACTCCATCTAGTGGTATTTTGGCATTGGAAGAGCTACAGTGGCTACGATGGCAGCAACCGGTGGTGTGGGTAAGGACATATGGGGAATAGCTAATAATCAAGGGCGGACTTTAGAAATTTCTAAAAGCAGGGTTTCGGTTGTGGGCAGCTAAACCAGGTTTAGTTAAAACAAAAAATAAAAAATAAATATAATAAGCGACCTAGACAAACTAGGTTTTTCACTAAGGAGCAGGTGGATTTGGAGGGGGGTTTTATTGACAAGAAAAGAGAGATGGAAAAGAAGTCACCAAAGGGAGATCATCTTTAACACAAAAAAATTGATGCTAGTATTTCAGTCTATATCATCCAGGGAACAAGGGAAGATATTTTACCTAATACAATATATTTGGAAGGAGAGAAAAATGGGGAGAATTCCATAGGATTCAAGGGTGATGGAAGCATCTATGAGGAATGATGCCACTGAAAACTTTTGAGACAGATTCCTAACATACCAGAAATTGCATTTCTACACGTCTATTTTTCTGCTTCTGTGTTAACCTACTGGCTGCTCTTCACTAATAACAAGAGATGAATATGAATAGAAGCATAGTCATATTTTCCATCTCCATCTAGACTTGAATAGTTACTTTGATTTTTCTTTATCATAATCAAAACCTCTTTAAAGCCCACGTGTTGGAAAGGATATGATAGCTAAGGGCTGTGGCTCTGGCACAGGAACAAAATTTGCCTCTCAGTATAAACTTCTTTGAATACACTATCATAAGATCTTCTGGATGTTGCTATTGGATTTCTTATATGTAAATAACTTCTATAATTTAAATTGCTGATTAAGTGAGATAGCTATCAGTTTTTCTGTACACTGTTAATTTTATCTTTTGTCTGCCATTTCAACACTTTATCCTCATCAAATTACACACAAGGCATCTGTAGGAATATAATGATTTGGATAGTGAAATACAGCATTCTTAATTGCTGTTGTACCACAATTGGAGAGGATGACTGCACCGACTTGCAACTTGCTAGAGTTTATCTATTTTTAGAAATTATGTACACAACTAGCGATCACCATCTTGAATTCAAACAAGTTCATATCCCAGGATATGCTATGCAAACAAGAAATAATGCTAAAACAAGAAGTGGTACATGCTAATTAAAGACACTTATTCATAATCATGGTTCTGTAGTTGCCAAAATAGAAGCACTGCACAGTTACTCACAATACTATCTATAAATAAAGAAGGAAAACTATGATCACACTAATACAAGGGTGTTTTTAATAATCATCTCAAGATGGAGTTAAATTAAAATCTTGTATTCTTGCAGTTCGAATTTGCTTCTCACACTTGAACTTTTAGGATACACAATTTGTTGACGCCGCTTTCCATGAATCTGACCGTCTTTAGTTCTTGGTATTTTTCTCGCTCTGTTTCCAAATTGTTACGAAGTCCTGCAATATGTGTTGAACATTAGTTTTCTGTGCCTATCTTGCAGATAGATGAACTTTGAAATTAATACTTGTTTGACTTCTTTATGTAAATAAATAGTGAATTTTTTTGTGAGAAATGTTCATGTAGGATGCAAATGTCTGATGGGCCACCATGAAAAGAAAGTTGCTTCTCTCTCTTTATTTGGTTTTTGGATCCACAATCCTGTTTTTCCTTTTATAATATGTTTTCTTTCTTTAGGTACGCTTATGAATTGCAAATAGCAGAGGCCCTCTCTCTCTCTCTCTCTCTCTCTCTCTCTCTCTCTCTCTCTCTCTCTCTTCAAACTAGTAAAGGACAAGTATTGATAAGAGTGAATTTTGTTAACTTAGGCTACAGTACTGGTCCATAACACATTTTTTAGGTTCATTTATATTTTAAATGATTATCCTGTTCCTTAGTAATTGTAAGTTGTTATTCTGTTTCTCTATCTTAATTATGTTGGATTAATACATATCCTAATAATGCTATAACTTAAAAATAATAACGCTAGAACTTTTCCATGTAATTTATATATCCAGTTAATCTAGAACTATGAGTATATAAGAAGTGTACTCAAGGAATTTGAGGTTTTCAATTAATTAAGAACTGCTAGTATTCTAAGGAACTGAAGCTCGTGAATGTGATGAAGTTCGATGCAGTTATAACCATAATTTACATGCTCAAGTGTCGTCAATTTGAATTTGTGATACTAATATATTATCTGTTTTTGATGTTTTAGGTTCTCAATCAGAAATGGAAATTATAATCTTTTAGGAACTGAGGAATTTGATTAACCCTGTTCCATTCAGCTTTATATGTCGAACTTCAAATTTGTTCTAAGTTGCATGGCTTTTTCAATTTATAAACCATGCTCTGTTTGCTATTGTCACCTTTCCAACAATTTTTGACATATGGACATTTGCTTTTCATTTGTTGGCATTTGAATTTCCAACATGACCTGACGTGTCCTGAACGGATTTTCTTTTTTTATTCATTTTGTTCAAGTTCATTGCCATCTGCTAATATATGTTTCATTCTTCTCTTTCAGTGCAAGGAAATTGAGCCATCAACTGGATAATCATACTATTTTTCCTATAATTCAATTATGACCATACTCTATATTTTCCATTCTTGTTCCTATAAAAGCTGGTAACGTTCTGACTTGCCTTCAGATTGCATCATTTTTCTGTTAAGGATCCTAGTTCCTATTATTATTCAGTTATCAGTGTTTCTTCTTCTGATTTCTTTTATACTATATGTCCTGATATGGTAGAATAATTATCATTAGTGGATCTGAGTAAATAATCACATCTTTATCTTTATCTTCTTGTGCCATTCATTTTTTCTCTGGTTTTAATTATATTGGAAGGATCTGCCCTGAACATTGAAACTGAATGCCGCTCATGTTGCAACTCATGATTCCTATCCTCATAAAGGTAGTACTTTTAAATCTTGAACAGCATTATTGAGCTGTATTTTTAAATGTAGTATTCTCACTGCAAAGGTTGGTTAAATGTGTTCATTGTGGTTAATTTGTCGTCCTAATGAGAAATCAATTTGCATTATAAAGTTGCCAGAGATTTTTTTCTGCTTTTGATATGAGGAGATGCTGAACTGACATTTTCTATCTTAGTTCAGTAAATTGTCTCCTTCATTGTTTGTTCTTTCTAGCATGTAACTCGTATTTCAAAATAAAAACAACATATATATTGTCTATAAATTTAGTTGTAATTTGTTTTTGCAGTATATCACTGCAGGTTAGGCTAATGTCTATTTAAGAGTCTCTAAGTCTTTAAATTTTTTCACTCTCTCTCTTTTCAAGTTTAACTCACTGATGGTTTTATTGTATTCATTCTTGTCTAAACACTCAGAAATAAGAACCTACTTGTTTTTCTGACGCCATTCATTAGTTGATGCATAGAATTTTTGTATTGCCATTCTGAAATAGACACTTCTGATTGATGGCTAAAATAATGTGTAGAATGTTTCCAACGTGCATGATGATATACTTTTGCCCTGTGCAGAAACCTCTGCAGCTTGTGCAATGCAGAATCTTATAAGATTAAACTTTCCAAGTCCCCCTAATTATATTTATATTGTCATATCATATGTTCTTTGTCATGCTCCTATATGAATTTTTTTCTTTCGAATCATATTTTCTGTTATGACCTTGCTCTTGACAGACATTTATTTTTATCGAGTACCTGGTAGTAGTAGATGGTTGTGTACATTTTATTGCCAAGTAAACTCATTAAATCAAGTACAGAATTTAAATAGATAAATAAGTATTGAGACATCTAAAAAGATATGAAACATGCAATGCCAACCATATTCTTTTATTTATTGTCACAATGACCTAGAAAGCTACATCTAGTTAGATTTACCTCACACAAGAAATTCGGAAACTGGGTGATGCCAAATATCAAGTATGTTTCCCTGAATAGCTGTGGTACTTATAACTCTTTTGGCGTTTAATGAAAAGCTGTAACTTCCCTTTAGCATTAAGAGATTACTTGGCACCTTTGACTTATCTGCATCTCTTTGTTATTGCAGTTGTAATCTGCTGCATTTTTCCCACCAAAATGAGTCTTGAATCAATATAGGGTTGAATTGATGGTTAATGAATTAAATCATGGGGGATGGACAATTACCCCAAAGTTGTAACTCCTGATGGTGCCTCCAGGTTCTGTTGCAGTGGCTGGCAAAGCTGGAGACAAACAGGTTCATGTGGGTCGTCTCTGACGCTTAAACTATTAGTGTGAAGTGCGTTACTGTTTGCTCCATTCACATCCTTAGTTCCATAAACCTGAACAAGCAGCATTTTTGCTGAGGAACCTATTATAATTCTTTTTATATAAAGTGCTCCAAATATAGTACTTTATTTCACAAAACATTTTTAAACTTGATTTGTTAATCTACACCACTACCTTCTTGTACAATGCCATATTTTCTTGTTGAATGAGGTTTACCTTCTTATACAGTTCCACATTCTCTTGGTGGATGAGGTTTCTCTGCAACAAAATTATGAAATCTAGCTACTAGATGGGACATTTGTCAAAATATAATGGAAGTGATTTGGTGCAATTTTTTAAGTTAACCTTTTGATTCAGTTCTTGTATATCTGAAATTAAAATTTGGTCCTGCAAAATTATGAAAACTATGTTAATAGTTTTATTTGATATGTGCAGAGCAAAGGATTCACATCCTAAAGAAGATGAAAATTTCAAACCTTCCTCATACGGACACCTCGAAGACTCATCTCCAGCTGGTTTTCCAGGTTCTGTAGATCTTTAACACTTAAACCAGAAAGCTCTTCTCCCATCAATTGACTGTATGATTATGAGAAATGTATGTTTGGTTATCTAGGTTGTTAATGCAAACACACACATACATGTAAGTACGTATGTATATAATGCATTCGCACATGTAATAAATGATGAAATTTATTAACGGGAAAAATAATTGCAGAAGTGGGACAAACACTCAGATCCTCTAAACTATTAATACTCCCTCAGGTTTAGCCCATAAAGATGACAAAACCATAACTATATCCCACTAGCAGCAATGAGGACTGTTATTACACTTCTGAAGAACTCTACCATTTTTGTCCATCCATATGGACCAAGTTATATCTATTGCAGCACAATTTCTAAAGATTTTAGCGCCTCTGTTGTTTCCAAACCTCAGAACTTCGTGTTGAACAAATGAACCAGAGATGCAGGTTAGAGAAATTGATTTTCCAGAAAAGAAAGAAGTTTCTTTAGTAAAGGTACCGAGAGAAACATTAGGATCTTTCGAGAAAGAGAACAAGAAGTTTCTAAGTTTTTGGACAGACCTAAGTTATCACCATCCTCGTGGATCTCAATGGTTAAGGAGTTGAAGGTTATTAGTATTGTGGAGAGCTGGTATGCCATACAAACGAGGATAAGTGATAGATAAAGGTCCAATCCAAACATCATGGAATCGGTTGAAAAAGGAATATAATTCAAGGACTTGCATAAGTGAAATATAGAAGTGAATTCCCTGTATAACATCTATTTTTGTGTAGTCTGTGCTTATGATTACTTTATTTTGTCCGGCCCATAACCACTTCCCTTCCAAGGAAATATTCTCTATAGGCCGTAAGCTATCATTGCCTCATTCTTTGATACTTCTATTAATAAGGATATCTGATTGAAAGTAATTAGTTTTTAAACTTTTAGCCTAGGAGACATCCAGTGTACTTTAAACTCATACCTTGAGATAATCAAGTATTTTACATCTGCCTTCACAATGCAGTTTTTCCATCCAAATGATGTCATTTGTCGATAATTGTGGGATGGTTTAAAATTATAAAAGGCAAATTGATATGATTTTCTCACGATGAGAACTTAAGAGTCTTGTTTCATAGTAATGAGATCACAAAAGATATAATAATTAATTTGACAATGAATGACATGCTTGTTCTATAAGAATTCAAGTTTCGGATGAAAGAATCTACGGATAGGATGAAGATGCACATTTCCAAGAAATTTAAATAGGTAAATTAAGTATGATTATACCATGATTTGGTTGTCTGACTAACTCATCTAACTTCATGTTCAAAATATTTTTATTTTTGGCAAGAATGCCTTATCTTTAGCTTCTCTTATACTAACATAACAAACGTGTTTGTTATAACTCTTACCTTTCATGTTCAATATTGTATAAAATGTTTCCCCAATGGATATATGGTTGCACTGGAATAGATGAAATAAGAAATGATAATATGTGCTAACAAGTAAAGGTGACATTTTTTAGGATAAATTAAAACTATGACGTAGATATATAGAACATATCTTGCTTAAACGTAAAGCTCCCAATTGTAGGTATGATGCAATTAAAGAAGGGAGATGTTTACCAAAATTAAAATGGCGTGTGATGGTTGCAAAGATTTGATTTACCTAGACCGTTGACACAGAGTGACAAAATGGATTAAATATGAATAAATGATTGTTAAAAAGATTTATGCTGGCTACTATGCTCATTAGGATACTGTTTAAATTGTTTGACAATGTATGATCCAAAGTTTTCAAATATTTTGTATCAACTTACCTAAATTTTTTAATTTTTTTTACGAAAATCGTGATTTATGGTCTCTTCATTGATATATTGAGAATCTCAAAATGATAGATGATATCTATGTTTTAATATTTTATATGTGGAGTATTTTACTTTGGTCCTTTGCTTTTCCTAAACATTTTTGTTAATTTGCATTTTAAACTAAAACACAATGTTGCAGGTGTGCACAACGTAATTGTTGCAAAATCAAATAATGACTCTCAATGGCTGTCAAGGAATTTAATCATCATTGACAACCTTTTACAATTTTAAGAATCTCAATACATGAATTTTTTTCTCTATTTTCATTAATATTGTCAAGTATTAATTTTATTTCAAGAAAGGCAAAAGATTTACCGATGATTCTCTTGCAAGTCATGCAGTTGTTGCCTCAACACATCAACTTCCCTTCTCCAAAACTGTCAAGTACAATAGCACCATTTATTGTATAAAATTATAAAAATAATATAACTATTTTAAAATGGAGAATTAATACTTTTGCCAGATAACAGATACTCATATCACATGTATACTTAAAACACGTATATAAAATCCATTGGAATTATGAAACATACAAAGTGACATTTACATAGGCATAAAAGAAACCTATTTAACTCTCATAATTTAGCACACTTAATTGTTCATGTAATTATGTTAATTATGATGCAACCAATGAGCTCATATCTTAATGCTGATTACAATTATACAAATAAGCTTATGAGATTATGCTAATTACAACTATTTTCCAAACTCCCCTCTAGTTGGTTTGAAGATATGTATAATTCTGAATATGCGAACACACGGAAGATATATAGGCCGAGGCAACCCTTTGGTAAGAACCATTGCTTATTGTTTCACACTTGTAATGATATGAAATATAAAATTAACCAATATCAATCTTCTCCACAATAAAATGACTCAATTTTAACATGCTCTGTTTTATCATTCTAAATGGGATTTTGAGCAATATTAAAAGTAGCTTTGATGCGCAGTATCGACTCATATTTATTTGAACAAAATCTTCAACTATAGTAACTCTTATATTCCTTCAGTCATTACCTTGAACTTGGTTTGAACACTTGATCTAGTCGCCGCATAATGTGTTGAAATCACGGATAATTAACCAAGTTTAGAATAATTGTTAATTTCCTTAATTAGCATATTTAGTATATTCTTTGATTATTGTAATCTTTAGATATGGTAGGAATATTTTTTTTTTCCTTTTATGCCTTTACCTCTTGTACTATAAATAAGGTCGTGTACTTTTCATTATGAATAAGAAGAATATATAGTTTTTCTTTTCATGGTATCAGAGCTTAGGTGTGTTCCAAACCTAGGAAGGTCATGACAGAAGCCACCGCCAATAGCAGAGACTCCACGACCTCTGACTGTTTTAACGGCGAATCTGAAATTATGTCTGCCATAGGTTCGGGAGAAAATTCTTCATTCCAATTAACGGTTGAAAAATTAAATGGGAAGAATTATCGAGAATGGGCACAGTATATCAAGTTAATTATTGATGGAAAAGGGAAATTAGGTTACCTCACTGGAGAAATTGCAAAGCCAGCCTCAACCAACCTTGTCCTTCTTAAAAAATGGAGGTTAGAAAATTCCATGGTGACTGCTTGGCTAATAAACTTCATGAAACCCGCGATTGGAAAAACTTACCAGTTCCTACCGTCGGCAAAAGATGTGTGGGATGCTGTCAAGGAGACTTATTCAGACTCTGAAAATTCAGCCCTAATTTTCGAACTCAAGACAAAACTTTGGCAAATTAAGCAGGGCGATCGAGAGGTCACTGAATACTACCTGGAGATGACAAATTTGTGGCAAGAACTCGATTTGAGTATTGAAGAACAGTGGGATTGCGCAGGCGACAGTGCTCGGTTTAAGCAAAGATTGGAAAATGAAAGGGTGTTTGAGTTTTTGGCAGGGCTGAATCGTGACCTAGATGATGTTAGGGGACGGATTCTTGGCTGGAAACCCTTACCGTCGACAAGGGAAGTGTTCGCAGAAGTCCGACGCGAGGAAAGCCGGAGAACCATCATGCTGGAGACGAACGACGGTGCGTTTGGGTCGACTAGATCTGGGGCTGAGTCTTCGGCCTTATTATCACATGGGCTTGGACCATTAAATCATGGGCAAAGTGTTGTTGGGCCCGATTATTTAAAAGGAAGGCCACAAAAATTTGATTTTGGATCAAAAAAAATTTAGTGGTGGGCCTGAAACTATTGGCTTTTATACAAAAGGAGCGCCAAATGAGCTGGACCCAAGACAACAAAAAGGACGACCTTGGTGTGAGCATTGCCATAAGCCGGGACATAAAGAGGACACGTGTTGGGATTTGCACGGAAAATCGACCAATTGGAAACCGAGACAAAATAAAAACCGTGGTTATCAAGCATCGAGTGACTATCTGGACGATCCAAGGAGACAGGTAGTGCTTTTAACTCTAAGCAAATGGAACAATTGTACAAGATGTTTTCGGGCCTCCAATCGTGGAGTCAAACCAATAATCCTTCCGGTTCATTAGCTCACAAAGGTAATTTTTTAAGAGCTTTAAACTCTACCACTCAATCTAAAACGCCATGGATCATTGACTCCGGAGCCTCGGACCACATGACGGACTCCTACCACCTATTTTCATCTTACTCCACATGTGCGGGTAATCTCAAAGTTAAAATTGCAGATGGTTCCCTATCCACAGTCGTAGGAAAGGGGAGTATTCAAATTTCTGATACTATAACTTTGGAATCTGTGCTTCATGTTCCAAACTTAGCTTGCAATTTACTATCTATAAGTCAGCTCACAAAAACTTCCAATTGCTCTGCTAAATTTCTTCCTTCTCATTGTGTTTTTCAGGACCTATCATCGGGGAAGACGATTGGTAGTGCTAAGGAAAGTGAAGGACTTTATTACTTTGACGAGGCCACTGTGAGTAACCAAAATCAAATTATAGTTTGTGATTCTGCGTCCGTCCTAGACAATAGTGAAATTATGTTATGGCATCTTAGAATGGGACATCCCAATTTTCAATATTTGAAACATGTACTCCCTTCCATTTTCTCGAATAAAAAGTCATTTAATTTTCAATGCGATATCTGTGAGCTTGCAAAACATCAACGTGCATCATTTCCTAAATCCATGTACAAACCATCACAGCCATTCTCCATGATTCATAGTGATGTGTGGGGACCCTCGCGAGTTCCCAACCGGACTCACTCCAAATGGTTTGCAAGTTCATTAATGATCACACTCGAATTTGTTGGGTTTACCTACTTAAAAATAAATCCGAGGTTCGAGACGTGTTCATCAACTTCCATTCTATGATTCAAACGCAATTTCAAACACAGATTCAAATCCTTCACACTGACAATGGCACGGAATACCTTAATAACATCTTGGGCGACTTTCTCCATACACATGGCATAGTTCATCAAAGCTCCTGTGTCGACACTTTCCAACAAAATGGGGTTGCTGAACGAAAAAATAGACATATACTAGAGGTCGCTCATGCCTTAATGTTCACTACAAACATGCCTCAAATGTTCTGGGGGGACGCTATTCTTACATCTGTTTACCTCATCAACCGAATGCCTAGCCGTGCCCTAAATTTCGAAACACCACTCCACCAATTCCAGAATTTTTTTCCCACTTCTCTTCTTAGCTCCAATCTACCCCTACGAGTCTTTGGGTGTACCGCTTTTGTTTACGTCCACTCTCATCAAAGAAATAAACTTGATCCCCGGGCAATCAAATGTGTCCTGCTTGGATATTCTCCTACACAAAAAGGGTGCAAATGCTATGATCCATTCACTAAGAAAATCTTTGTCAGCATTGATGTCACTTTCTTCGAAAATACTCCGTACTTCGACAAAACCTCTCTTCAGGGGGAGACAATACATGGAGATCGGTTCCTTGCCCTGAGTCCTCCTGCACCTACCCTACCTATCCTACTATCTAATTCTAATATGCCATTGACAGAGGGACACTTGAATCCAGGGGAGAAGTAGAAAAACAAACTGATAAAGAGATTAGTTTATTCACGAAAGCCAAAATCAAAGTGCATAGAGAATCTCACAACTGAAGCGCCAAGAGAGTCAGAACCGATGATAGCTCCAGATACGGATACTGATTTGCCTATTGCTCTCAGAAAACAACCACGGTCATGCACTCACCATCCCATTTCAAAATTCATGTCCTATGTTGCTCTATCTACAGGATTCCGTACTTTTACAGCTCACCTTGATAGTACAGTTGTTCCAAGAAATATTGAGGAGGCATTGGGAATTCCAAGATGGAGAGATGCAGTATTGGAAGAAATGCGTGCATTGGAAAAAAATGAAACTTGGGAAGTGATGGAATTACCGAAGGGAAAGCAACCTGTAGGATGTAAATGGGTTTTCACTGTGAAATATACAGCTGATGGGACAATTGAACGGTATAAAGCCCGCTTGGTGGCAAAAGGATACACACAAAACTACGACATTGATTACACAGAGACATTTGCGCCAATAGCAAAGTTAAATACCATTCGAGTTCTTCTATCATTAGCCGCAAATTTGGACTGGTCACTTCAGCAACTGGACATTAAAAATGCATTCTTGAATGGGGAACTGAAGGAAGAAGTTTTCATGACGCTACCACCAGGTTTTTGCAAAAAGGAGGAAAAAGGCCGAGTATGCAAACTGAAAAAATCCTTATATGGCTTCAAGCAGTCACCAAGAGCATGGTTTGATAGATTTGCTAGAGTGTTGAAGAGCCAAGGATACCGCCAAAGACAGTCAGATCATACTATGTTGACAATTTGAAAACGGTACTAAAACGATTCTAATCGTATATGTTGATGATATTGTTTTGACAGGAGATAATATAGCAGAGATGGAAAGACTAAAAGGGAGTCTTGCTATTGAATTTGAAGTAAAAGATCTAGGATCAATGCGGTATTTTCTGGGAATGGAAGTTGCTAGATCAAAACGAGGCATCAGTGTATCACAACGGAAATATATTCTCGATCTTCTAACCGAAACTGGCATGTTAGGATGTAAACCAAGCAATACACCTATAGATATGGGAACAAAAACTGACGATGGAGAAAATCCGGTAGAAATAGACAAATATCAAAGATTAGTTGGAAAACTAATCTACCTGTCACATACTAGACCGACATCGCATTTGCAGTTAGTGTGGTAAGCCAACACATGCACGCTCCTAAGGAAAGCCACCTAGAAGCCGTCTATAAAATACTCAGGTACCTCAAGGGCTCCTCAGGAAATGGGTTATTCTTCAAAAAGAGTGAAAGAAAAGAAGTGGAAATTTTCACGGATGCGGATTGGGCAGGATCGATAGATGATAGAAGGTCCACTACTGGTTACTGTACCTTTGTATGGGGAAACTTGGAATCAATAGAAGATAGGAG